TTTTACCAGCCTCGTGTTCCTCTTATCAAAACGCTTCGAATGAATCAAAAGTTGATCTTTAAAGGTCATTTGAAAAATCTGGCCTATGTTCAAAGACATGACCTGACCAGAAATGGTCATAATGCATAGCAGGATATTAGATCCGTATCGTGGAACTTCGCAAACACTTTAGATGATTTCATAACTTAACCCGCGCCGGGCCGGTGCTCTGAAATTCCGCGCCGGGCCGCGGGGGGTGTTTGAACACCCCCCCCCTTCTAACTCGGCTCCTGGGCCACGTAGCGACACGCGGTAAGCGGCAATCGAAAGAACGTCAAAAATAAGGACGAAAACACTTCGGTCATTTTTTGGGTCAGGTCAAAGGTCAGGTCACCAGAGGTCACCAAAGGTAAAATGTTGACTATTTCAACATTTTGGAAACTGCCAACGGCTATCTCTGGAACCGATAGAGCTACAGCGCCGCAAAAAATCGCATTCGATAGCCCTTTTACAGAACTTTCTGAGTAATGTTCTCAGATTTGACCTCAGGTCAACGGTTTAGCCTCCAGAGGGCAAAAACTCCAAAAATAGCCGTTTTTACGAAAAACGTTTTTTCGGCAATAACTTTTGACTCCAAAGAGCTATGACATTAATTTTGCCAGAATCGTGTTTCTCTCGTCGAGACGCGTCGAATGAACTATAATTTGACCTTGAAAGGTCAACTTGAAAATTTGACCTCAGGTCAAGGTCATGACCTGACCGGAAAAGGTCATGTTGCATATCAGTCGATCTGCAACGTCGAGCCGAACACATCTAAGGCGTTTTCAGCGCTCTAGCACGCCTCTATCAGAAGTTATCATCGACAAACTGTTAGATTCTGTTCGTGACCTGAGATGACCTCGGGGACATAACGAGGGGTCACAGTTGCCATTTTCTGGTTCAGTGTGTCTATTTTACCTACATCTCGATGTTTGAGAGTGTCTAGAATAGCGTTCGTGCAAAACAGGCGCTTTTCAATTTTCTCCCATTGACTTATAATGGAGAGGCCGCAAAATTGACCTGACTTTAGGTCACCGATATCAAAATTCCGAGATATACATTTTATAGATAGTGTTGCTCTAATCAATCGCTGAAAGTTTCAAGGCAATCGTTCAGTCGGTGTAGCTATGACGAGCATTCTTATTTTTTCTGAGGTGAGGTCACTTGGCGTGACCTGGTGACCTGACCTAAGGTGACCTGGGTCTGAAATTTTCACAGCATGTGCGGAAAAGATGCACGAACAGGTGTGCCAAAAACGGCGGCGCTCCGCGCCGCCGTTTTTGAGATATCTGCGAAAAACCGCAAGGGGGGGTGTTCAAACACCCCCCCGGCCCGGCGCGGGTTAAGCATGTCTATCAAAAATAATTATTACATGGCTCATATGTAAGCTGGATGTGTGAACATGCTTACGAGTATGTCGAACGCAACTGATAATGTGCTGTTGGCCACAATTTCTATATTTAATTTATCCTCCCAAATTTCATATTTTTGTTAATGACACCTTGACGATGTCGAGAAAAAACGCTTAGGAGATTTAACAGCCTGAGATACATTCAGTATAAGGAAGGTTCAAGGGTGCTAGATTCCTTCCGTCCTATAGTCTGTTCCATATCAAGCTTGCAGTTGGAGTTTCTTTGGCAGATCACTCCTCCGCTCAAGAATTTGCGTCTTAAAATGTAAGAGCTGTATATACAGAAATCACGCACTGCTTTCAGCAGGGCACTTCGGCTGCAAACTTGAAACGGAACAGAGTATAGCTATCCTCAGGAAAAACCAATCCGCATCGCCCCTAGTCTTCATGCTTCCCTCTCTGAACTGGAGGTCACCCCACCAGCCAACCTGTAGTTTTTTTTTTATAAATTAAGTCCGAACCTTTTGATGGGAAGGATTCACAAGGACAGAGCCACCGCTAAGCGAAGCTTGTTGCGATGACCCTGCCCTCTACCCTCCGATCGCGCAATTCCGATTCTATGGCAGAATTTAGAGTCCAAAGTTTTACGTGCGCACAAAGCCGCGCACGGCCGGTCCCCTCGCTGACTTCGCCTGGCTACGGCCTGCCACCAACCGCAACCATACCTGTCAGGAGGCCCATAAATGTCGAGCGCCCGTCGCGCTTCGAACCCGGACTGTCATAACCGGGAACGCGTGCTCTCACCACGCGGAGTCCAACGCTCTAACCAACTGAGCTACGGGACCGGCAAGTTGATGTCGGATCCATTCCAGGACACATAATCCTCTTCGGGTGACCGTTTGGGAGACGGCTGGACCGTCCCGACAGTGCAATCGTCCCACGGGAACAGTCTCGCTTCCGCAGATCACTGTCGCTGGCTCGCACAACCCAATTACTACACCACAGCATAGTTATGTCATAGCTCTGCAAGGGCCTTTTCAGACCGAAAAAGATGGCCCCCAACAAAACAAACAATTTTCTCATTCAGTATTGTATCTCATTAAGCACCACATGTTTTCAGAGTGTTTATTATGCGTTCCGTCCAAAAAAAAAAAAACGCAGTTCAATTTTCTCCTATTGACTTGAGCGGTTGAGCGATCTCAAAATTGACCCGGCCTTTCTGTCAACAACGTCAAACTTGCAAAGTAAACGTTTCAAATACATATACTGTTGCCCATTAAAATCGCTGAAAGTTCTGAAGCGATCGATTAGTCGGTATATTTAGATATGATGAGCACAGGATCTTTCCTTGAGGTAAGGTCACTTGACATAACCTGATGTTATGAGTTATGACCTTGAATTGAAAGACTTGGGCGGAAAAAAATGGGCAATTTGAAAATCTTAAAATGCTAGATTTTAACAATAATTGCAAACACTATCCCGGCCAAATAGTGAGTGAGAAGAAAGCGATTCCCCGTTTAGCTCCTATAATTGAGCTAGCTACTAGAGCCTCGCGGAAAAAAAAAACGAGCGCTTGCGTCGTTACGTGACGCAGCGACTGGCACCCCATTTTAAAATATCAGTGACCTCTTAGGGCAGGTCGAGGGCCCCAAGGCATTTGATCGGTTCTTGGTAAATAACTAAACGCATTATCGTCATTTCGATACAATTGTGTTTTCTGTTCTCAGACGCGTCGATTTATATGCTTTTTTGTTTAGGTGAAGCAATTTAGGATGTTTACCTCAGGTCAATGTCATGTTAGGGCAACGCAGGTCACGAGGCTGTTGAAAGGAGGACATGTTGCATAACATTTGATTCGGCAAGTCTTGCAAAGTCCATTGATGGCTGTCCCGACTGGCTAGCTCATTTTGATCGGGAGTTATTGACGAAACACTCCTATGACCCTAGTGACGTCATTAATGACGTCACGCAAGGTGAACAATGCAAAAGTGAAGCATTAGACCTTGCCAAGAATGTATGAAGTCACGATTTCATGTCCTTGAGGTATAGTTTCATATCATTTCCGACGCCAAATTAACAGTTTCCACAATTCCCCATTATGCTTATACGACACTAAGTGCATTGCGGATTGCATCATTTTATAACCGACAACCGTGCAGAGGTTTACCTAGACGTCATAGTTCAGTGACCTGACCTGAAAACGTGGTTGATGTCAAGCGATCCGGCTTGAATGAAATGTAAGGCATGTGAAATGTCAGCCTTCTATCATCAGTGTGCTTTGAGCTACCGCAAAAAATGCATGGTGGTGGCATCCACCCCTTCTTCTCGGCCGGCGAGGGTTAAACCTCGCTTCGAATTATTGCAGATAATGATAACAAAGCATTATTCTGTGTCTAGAACGGCCGCTGACTTGTTAGACAGGGTCCCCAATCTTAATTCGCTAGATCTAGCGAATCACATACCGAGTATTTTATTCCCATCTATGGGAATACAATACTCGGTATGTGATACATATAGTTATACCCCTTGATTTGCCCTCGCGCTAAGTCTATTCTAATCATCACTGTCGCTTTTTTATCCGAGACGATGTCGCCGCTAAACGGGTTGTTTTGTTTGCTTGCTTGCGCTGAATGGCCATTACAGATTATTGAAGGATTATGATAAAATAGGAATGGGGCAAGGGAGGATATGCACTGCAGGTGTTTAATTTAGATCACAAAGGCATCATTTCCGGCATCGTGCAGAGTCATTATCTTCCCCTCCTCTGCACTGCGGCATCTCTGCGTCCCACACACGGCGTCCTCACTCCACGGCCGGCCGGCGCCACGGTAGATAAAAATACTAGGTAACGCCGAGAATTTCCTTCAACATGGACCCTATGGGTTCACATTCCTGGCATTCCATTAGCAGCATTTACATTTTCAAAATCGATAACTACACTACAGAATTCGCCCAAACTGGCAAAAAAACCGCAACTTTTGATTTCATTGGTGAATAATTTATCTCATACCCATCTAAATTTTACTTACGCAGAAAAGTAATTAAAATCAGGCACTCAAAAAGCCTTTTTGCCAGCGTCGATTTCGTGAAATCCAAAGATTGGGTTGATGATATTAGGACACTGGTAAATTCAAAATTGCTCAGATAATTTAATAAGGTACAACAATCCCCCCAAATAAGATATTAAAGTTAATTAAAATGCGGAAAACCCTGGGGCATCCTCAGCCATCAACTCCTATTTTCCAGTATTTCATCTATTTTCTTCGCTAAGGAGGTCTTGCTCCGATGATTTTTTTACTTCCACAAAATCCTCAGCTATTATTTATTCCAGCTATATGGTCAGTAACCACTCAGTTAGATGTTAACGGCTATAACGGACCCTTTTTTACAAAAATTTTTAGATGAAAAAAATGATAAATACTAATGAATTCGCCCAGTTTCGGGACCATGGGGTTCCGTTTGATATTTTCTCAGCTGAATCTAAATAGCAAACTAAAAACAATTTCAACGGCATGGACGTTTCACCAAAGTTTAGATGTTAAGGGATCACAAATTGGAAATAAAATATTATAGAATTTCGTCGGCCGTAGGGAAAGCATGCTTCTGTTGTTTTGGAGCTGTGTCTCGTGTGTCTCCTGTGCGTCATTTCCGCCGCACCGCCAAAACATGAAAAATGGGGGGGGAGATCACGAAGCGATCAATTATAATTAAATTAACTCATCAGGTGAGACAGAAGTTGAATTTCGTGTTTGAAATCAGATAGGTATGTATTGATATAAGTTAAAATTTGAAATATTTTGTTTCATTGGTTGTGGCAATGGTGGTTGCTGTGGCGTGAAATAATAATAGGTATGCCTGGTTACATCGCATTTTTGACTAGGCTCTAGCTTATTTATTTTGTGATAATTTCCATGCAGTGATCCTTGCATATTTAGAGGGGATCATTCTGTAAATTGTTCAGTAGGTACAAGCGGCATCTTTTGCAACATTATGGACGAAGCTTGCAATGACCTCTATGTAAACGCGGCTATTGTCTGTGTAGCAGCAGTGGGTCTTGGAGCTTTTTATAGTATAAGTATGTTAAGTATAATGGGTTTGGGTAAGTATAATGGGTTTGTTTCAATGTACCTATTTCTTACTGCACCCTTAATAAATCAAAAGTTAAGGTGGGAAAAGTTACCATTTTTTAAAATATTATTCTGAGCCATGGAAGATTGGTGTTTATTTACTTTTGGTTTGCAATACAGAGGGGTTCATAAAAGCATTTCATGGTAATTCTACCATGCAAATTGAAAGGCTTGCAATGCAGGTGAAATGGTGTGAGAAATGACACATAGTTGACCTTTACTATTTGATGATAATGGTGGTCATGTGCAAACATTTATTAGTATTTCATTCATGTATGATGTCCTGTGTTTACAGTTTATGTAGGGCGCTCGGCAGAGGTGCCGTCAGAACATATTTTGCAATCAAAACAAGCATCACTGTATTACCTATCAAAAAAGAACAATACAAACAAAGAAGGTAAATGTAAAGATAAAGTCCTAAGAAGATTTCAATGATAATTTCTTCATATTCTTACATTATTTGACATCCTGAATCCAAAAATGATACGTGTCTCGCTAATAAAAGAAAAAACAATCAAACCTGACCTAACCTTACCTACAACCTACCAACCTACAACCTACAACCTACAGCCTACAAACCTACCAACCTAAAACCTACAAATATACAACCTAAACTAACCTAAAACCTAAAATTTCTGTTGTTGCATATTCATATCAACAGTGTCACAATTGTAGTTAGGATTTAAGACCTCATCTTGACAAATACCACAAAGCAAATAATAGCCTACAATGTCCTACATTTTACCAGCTACAAGAATTAGAAATGATATTATTTTTTAGAAGTGCTTCAGCTTGTGTTGTAATATCCAAATATGCGCCCTCATATGAGGGCTCATATTTGGCTTCATATGGCTCAGGCAACCTCTCTGTAATGGCCATTCTTTGTATATGTAGACACTCATACTGAAAATGAATCTTTGCTGTAGTCATTGTTGACATGCATTCTCATGTTTGCAGGACAATCTCCTATCATTTATGAAGAAACCAGGGTTATTTTGAAAATATATCACTCAGAAAAACAACAGGCCTACAATTCTGGCCAGTTATCAATGGGTAAGATTATTAATAAGCAAAGGTTTTCTCTCTTTCTTCAAACCCATGAATGTCACTGAGGTCAGCCTTCTGGTGGTACAAAAGGAAGCAGCCACTAAATATTTACAAACTTTTGGTTGTGCTTTGCATTGTTATCATTTTGATTTAGAAGCACATGCTTACATAGCTCATTGTCATCTCAGTAAACATGAACTGCTTTAAAACATCAAATGTGAGTCAGTTGTGCAATCAGTTAGCATAAAATGTTCATGCAGTTGAAAATATAAAAAATGGTTGACTTTCCTGCATATGATTGAGTCAATCAACAATGATTTGAGGCTGGAGTACCTACTTGGGCGGCCAGTAGTGTTGGGTTGCTGTGAGCATGTGTTAGTTCTTTATGATTGCAAATAATATTGAATGTACACAATATACATTGTATGGTGCCCCATTATTCTTAATAAGCCCAATGTTAACTTTTTTGTTCTGTGTGGATTAAATGCAGCTTGTATTTTTAGTCATGACAAGGTTCAATGGCAATTGACATTCAGTGTGCATACCTTTTGAAACCACTTTTGTTTGTTTGTTTTCAGATTAGAGAAATGAGCTTATCAAACAGCACGGATCCACGATGCTGGCGGTCTGGGCCAGTAGCCATCTTCAGCTTCTGGCGATGGAAGGGGCCTTCGGCTGATGAAAGACAGCCCTGGCCCCTGCCAGCCGGCCCCGCCACTGGTGACGAGCGCTGGCGCGTCAGCGACCGCTCGAGCGACTCTGATCAAGCCGTGCAAGTAATGCTCTACCTGCTGATCCACCACCGAGGGCTCCGCGCCGGCCGCATCCGAAGGAGGATGCGTCATGTACTGTGCAGCCGAGGAGACCTACTGGCCACTCGTGAGGCCTACAATCTGCATGATCAGTCAGCACCACCTGCGGGCGGTCGCCATCGAGTACGTCCGAGGCGCTCTTTCTCCCAAGCCACTTGGGTATGGACGGACGGTTCGGCTAACGCAGGAGTCCGCAGCGGAGGGGCCGGGGCCTTGGCCAGCTCTGCACCAGCTAGAGCGCGGAGATGGTTGCGCTCCGCTCAGCCATCAGCGCGACCACCTGTGGCACCTGAGCGCCCCGGTCGTCTTTTGCACAGGCTCCCAGGCGGCGCTGGCGACACTGAGGGAGGGCCCAGCCACACAGAAAACCTCGATGGGCGCCGCCGTGTGGACGGGGCTGGCAGTCCTGTTCCGCCACTTCCACCTGCAATTGGTGCCGTCCCATTCCGATATAGATGGTAACAAGCGCGCCGACCAGGCCGCTAAGGAGCCTCGAGCGCGAGCCTCGAGCACGGAGGTGGCCCCGCTCCCCCAGGCGACAGTCCCGGGGGATGATGGCACTGCCCACCGCGCGGCCATCAGATTGTCAGATTGGCCCGCCACTGTGCCACCGCCGCCTGGCTGGACAGTTGGTGCCGGTTTCTGATGGGGGGGGGGGGGGCTGGCTGTCTGCCGCCGCTAGCGGTTGCGGAGTACCGAGCATCGGCTGCCGATCTCTACCGGCTTCGTACGGGCCAGTGGTTGGGCTTCCGCCAGTATCTTCACTGTATAGAGCAGAACCCTACTGACGAACGCCGCCAGTGCTCCGACATCGACACCCCCCTCCCCCCATCACCTTTTCTTTCGGTGCCCGGCCCTCATGGGACGGAGTTTCCGTCGATTCGGCACCGTCTTCCCGAGCCCGGAGGCGGTCCGTGAGCCGTGAGGACGAAGAGGTGGCGGTCCTGACGACCGCCGTGAGAAACCTCGAGAGCTGTACCATTACGCCGCGGTAGCGGCTGGAGGGAAGCAACAACAACAACACTGAAGGTCACAGCCGCCGCGTGGTCCCGTGCGGCGGCGTGCTGGCTGATCGTAAAATGCCCACTTCCTTCCTTTCTTGCCAGCTTAGGCCGGGTCCCGCGGGGCCCGGCCCGTCTCCACCAGGAAGTCTACGATGAGGTCAGCTTCGGTGGAGAAAATCTCCCCCAGCGTCGGCAGGGGGCCCCACCGGCGGGTCCTAGGCCCCTGGTGAGCGGGGCAGTCCATCAGCAGGTGCGGGACCGAGTCCGGCTCGCCGCAGTCGACGCACGTGTCGGACTCGGCCAGTCCGAGTCGGTGCCGGGTGTCTCCTGTCAGGGGCGAACATCCCACCCGGAGCTGCGCCACGGTCACCGACGCTCGGCGGTCCAGTCCGTCGTGCCCGGGCGTCGGGTCGGGGTGCGGGTGGCTGCGTCTGGCGCGCGCATTACACATCGCCCGCGCCCGGCGGGCCACCGCGGCTCTCGCCGACCACAGGTCCACGGGGATCTGGTCCTGTCTGCGCAAGCTCCCGATCGCTGCCAGACGGTCCGCCTCCTCGTTCTCCGGCAGGCCCGCGTGGCCGGGCACCCACTGCAAGTGGAGCCTGTGGCCTGAACGAGTGATGGTGTCTAGCAGGTCCCTGATCTCCGCTACCAGAGCCGACTGGGAGTCCGCCGTGTCTTGTAGCGACTGGATGGCTGCGCGCGAGTCGCAGCAGAGGAGGAGCAGCATACTCGGCCGGTCAGGCAGATCGCCCGCGGCCTCGGCCAGCGCCTCGCGGATGGCCACGAGTTCGGCCCGGGTGCTGCTGCATACCTTCCCGGTCGCTACCGTTAGCTAAACGGTGCGGGACTCCTGGTGGAAGATCAGCAGGGCTCCCCCTCCGCCGTCGTGCGTGCCGCCCCCAGCCGAACCGTCGGTCCAGATGGACACGTCGGGCTGCGGGAGAGACGCCAGCGTCGTCTCCGCTGCAGCTCTTTTCGCTTCCGGTGGGTCTGTGCGCGAGGTGGGCACCGTCAGAGAGGTCGAAGTGGTCAGACTTGTGGAGTCCGGTAGAAGGACAGGCGGTGTCAGGGCCAGCGGCTTCGCTGGGAGCTCCGCTATGCCCGCCTCGCTCGCCATCCAGGCAGCAACTCGCCGCACGCAGGGCGAGTTGCTGCGTGCGGCAACTCGCCCTGAAATGCCCACTCCGCGCGGCGGTCCTGGCAGTGGTGGACCGGGCTGTGGTCCAGTCGTAGCCCGACTAATGTTCAGATTGGCGAGGTCTGCTAAATGCCGCCGCGCGCCGTCCGTGCTCCGTGACCAGGACCTCGTCCGCCCACTCCCTCTCGGAGCTGACTGATCGCTCAAGAAACTGGTAACGGTACATACGTCTGCGATACTGGCTCAGCACCCGTGGCTGGCGCGATGTCTGCCCCTAAATGCTGATTACTCGACGTGCCGCGCTCCTCGATGGAGCATGTATGGACTGCCTCATTGCCGACTACTGGCAATCCTTGAGTGCTCATTGTCTCCTAGACGGAGGGCTGCCGTTGGTGACCGGGGTCGCGTCATGCTCCCGCTGCTACAGCAACAGGCCACAGGGTTACTCTTAAATGGGAGTGGTTTCTGTTGCTGGATAGCGTAGGACGTATTGGGCTTAAATAATATTTACGAGATCTGCGCTAGGAGCAACATTTTTACTTGTGCCAACAATCATTCGGTGCGTCAGGTACAATTATGTTGTTGACTGAATTGTGTGTAAGGATATGTATGAGTTGTACTCGTAATTTTATTGTGTCCTGTATTTGTTCATGAGTTGTGTGAGGGTCAGTGAACTCTCTCCTGGGTGGCCTTAGTGATCCGAACGGGGTTTTTTGACGTTCAATAAACGACCGATGATCCATATCGATTTATTTCTACTTGTGAAACTCTGTCACACTACCTGCGTATAATAAATGCAGTGTGAAGAGACATGGTTTGCTCGAATGAGTATTAAACGGAGGCGTGGGTTGCGCTCGCTACCTTCAATCATTGGCTGACTGATCCTAGTTTGGTTATTGTGAGGACGATTTCTGAAACATTTCTGATTTCCCGGTCGGAAAATGTTAATGTTTCGCCACTGGTTTCAATGGAGTATACACGAGTTCACAAATGGAGTTCGGGTACGCGGCGCTTCACCGTCGGAATCGCAACAGTTTCCCTTTCGTCATATATTCTAAAATCGAAACCTTCCCAAAAATCAAACCATTTGGAGTCATGGCGTAGCAATATCTACGGGCTATATTCGGTATTGTAGATGTTCTTCGTGACCGGTGCTTACCCAAACTCTGGCTTTCCATTTGTGAATGCACATCAAAATAGATAAAGGATTACAATATCGACTCTTCTAATTATAAAAGTAATGATCTGTTACTTAATATCAATAGTAGTTCAAGAATTCGGATCCATTCTTGTGGCATGTGAAGATAGTATTATTTACTAGCCACGACTAATCATGGAAAAAAGTGAACCAATGCATCCCCAAAGTCTGACCTAAAATTATTTTTATTATTTTTATTCTTTTATAATGTAGATTATAGGTATTACAAATGTGGTGAAGTAAAAAGAAAATTATCTATACGTCAATTTAAATAAACAACTCAAGAAATCCAAGACTTCTAACTCCATTTGCCTAAAATATCATTTACTAGCCACGACTTACTCCGTCCAGTAAGAAAAACAAAGTGTACCTACCCGTAGATGACGCAGTTCAAAAGCAGCAAACTCATAATCAGTTGGCGCTGTTTTCCCGTTGAAAATGCTCACGGTGCCCGCCTGGCCGGCGCCAACTGACCCACTCGCCGGGCGCCGCGACCTGACCCGTGTCGCTGCCGCGGCCTGCGCAATAGTCGGGGCTGGAATCCGGGGGTTCGGCCGGCCGGCCGCCTCTGGAGCGGGGGACTTTTTTAGTAGACCTACTGTACCACTCGGACTTCATCTTCACATCTTACCTGGTGTGATTGAGAGTGGACTATTCTATGCATTTTGAAAATTGCACTGATAGTGTCTTAAAGTTTGGTGGTGAGTAGATGTAATTTCTGTTATGACTAAAACACATGAAAATGATGGATACTGTGTTGCACCCGACAGTCAAGCAATGCACTAGAGGTGTCAATTTCAGAAATCTCTTGTCCGATGTCCGTCCAATGTCCAAAATCCCAGCCCACTTTTGTCCGAAAAATGTCCAAAGCATGGATTTGTCCGAAAACTGTCCGAAAGCTGGTTATGGAAAGAGAGTATGGGGGAATTGATCTATATTAGGTATATGTTTGCATGTAGGTACCACATGATCACTAAATAACAGATCTGTTATACTCAAAACCAGATGGCAAATATCTATATTTGCCATCTGGTTTTGAGTGCAAAATATTGCAAACCAAAAATATTGAAGCAATATCATATGCAGTGCCTAGGGAATGGGGGTGGGCATTTGGGCAATAGGCCTAACCTGATATATAGCACAAACACAGCATATTGAGACAAGCCTATTCTGTTTCAAAATGTGCTAAAGCCTACAACTGAAGCTGAGTAAGCAGGAATAATGCAAAACATTGCCTTATCCCTCCAACTTGTGTTTTCAAATATCGACTTCTTGCCACATCCCTTTGACACTAAGCCACTTGATGATGAATTAATACAGCAATAATGCAAGAAGCTAGTCACTTACAATAATTGTGCATGTCTTCATCTTATATCACACTGGCTGAGATAGAGACTTGGATTGAGATGTAAAGTAGAACACTTCTTGCAAAAGCAAAATAGTTCATGTGAGAAGAAACGTGCTCTTCACTGAGCCACACATCTCTCAATATCTAAAAGAATAAGCGATCACCAAAATACTAGCTATGATTTAACACAAATTCACTGAAATTAACAAGCAAGAAGAGGTTGCAATCCTTGGTAGAATGAAAAACACATTTCATGCTACCATTCTTGGTAGCATGGAACATGGTATCCGGCTTTGAGTCGATGATGTGAAAGAAAATCAATAATATGACGTCATTTTCATATAACTTGTCCTATTGAAGTGCATTTACCATAAATTGTTTGATTTAAATTCAATTTGTATTGCAAAATATGATAATGTGTCGAAAATAATTCAATTGTAAAGCAAAATAACTGTATTTATTGTTTCAGACGTCATTTTTTGTCTCCTCCGATTCTCATCGGGAGGCCATCTTTCCTTAGGTGACATTTATGACGCTTTCGCCGCATTTCATCATCTTTTGGTAATTGTTTAGTTTATTGATAGGCTATCGGCATTTATGTAGCATTTATTTTTCGGCACGGATATTTTTGGAGGGAAGGGGTAGAAGGGGATGACTTTATGATAGGAGCTTCTAGGTAAGACTCTTGTGCTACTTGGCACACCTTGATATTTGCAATTTTCTTCAGTCTCTTTTCTGTTAACTTTCAAGT